ACAACGTCTGATGAGTCGACGTTAAGAGTTTTCGAAAGAAAGGTAGTAAACTTATGGTTCTTTGCCCATGGCAACGGTGAATACCGCAGCCGATGGAACGATGAGTTGTACGAGAAATATAACGACATTGATATACTTAGTTCAGCGAATTGAGAGACAGCGGCTATGCTTCGATTAGGCTGAATTTTTGCCCAAGATTTCCCCAAATTAAGGAGCTAAATTTAAAGTTCTTCTCTGCGATGCGATGGTTTTCTTTTAGTTTCTAAAGAGACATCGAAGAAAGGAAAGATCGGTTTGGACCAAAATGTTTTTTTTTTATACCTCTTTTCGATGTCTTCCATGCCGAGGTTGCAGCCATTAAGGTAGCAGTAGATTTACTGCTACGGAGAGCAGTCTCCTTCAGAGAAGTGACTCAGATAGCAGTGCGGTGATATTAGTTTTGAACTCACTAGCAGTGCGTTCCGGGCTGGTCAAAGAGTGCCTAACCTCGCTATCAATAACATCGAGTGTGTTTGTGATAAGACTGGTATGGCTTCTAGGGAACAGCGGAATCGCAGGAAACTGCAAAGCTTATGAGATAGCAAGAAAAGGCCACCTACCGCTATCGGTAGAATGTAAGCGGGTCGGTGCTCCGTATCTTCTTGTGTTCTACTATTAAATGGGCTTCGCGGAAGCTTAGCCAGCGCTGCGTCACAATCGAGATATGCGCTGTCGCTAAAGCCTTTTGACCCAAGATCGGTCGCAGGAGATCTAAGAATTCTTTGGTCTCAGTAAGGCTAGCCTCTCCCTAGTTTTGGGGCTTTTAACGGGCCATTGTCTTATTGGCTTCCATGCCTTAAGGCTGGCAGTCTTTCCTTCGAATATTGCATTCCAAATGCATGGGTTCCAAGAAAAAATAACAACAAGATGATAACGATAATAAAGTTTAATGCACCCTACCCACCAAAAAGGAAAATATTAATTTTTCCATGCAATTGCATACATACAAACACACACTCATAGGTGCAGCTCCCTTGCACGCATTAAATATGAATGAATACATAATAATTGAAAATTCGCCCCCACTGTCACTTATATAGTACAGTTGTGTGAGATTGCTTATTGCTCTGTGTCTTCAAATGTGTTTGGATTATAATTTATTTAATCAGTTTTAAGGCAGCAACAGCATGAAATCATGCAGGCAACTTGGAAAAGGAAAACACAGTACTCACTACAATAACAAAAGTTAATTTCTGTGAACCGGATGATGAGCGACGAGAGCAATGTACTCACACGCAACTGGCTCCCCGGACTTTTTGTCATACAAATGCATTATAAGTAGGGTGCAGATGAGTATAAATACTCGAATATATATGTATGTATATTATATATACTTATTTATATAAATGCTTAACGTATATCGCAATGCCTCCTGGAGAAAATAGCGCCCCCTACAGCAATGTCTCTTGGATCGAAACTAGTCTGTGCGGAAAGTGTGGTTACAATCACAAAATTTTGATATTTTGAAGTAAAATGGGTATTAATGTTTGAGTTTATACTATAGTTTACGGCTTCACAACCATCGGTAGTTCCTCTGCAATTTCTAGCTAGCGCGTCGATTTCTGAATTGAAAACGCTTCTTATAAAAGAATGCTATTTTTGTGGTAACCTAACAGGTACACTACAAACCACTACACTCGTCAGGGTTCAGGAGTCAGACGGAGACTGGGTTCGAACCAAATTTCGAAAAATAAATGCCAGAAACTATGTATGCTTGATCAACGGCTATAATCGCGTTAGTGGTGTCTACGCCAATAAAGAAGAAGAAGAAGAGCATAGCCAAGCCGAAAGAGAACTAAAATATAGCATTTCAGAATAGCGTTTGAGACCAGTTTTATGCTCCCATTATATGAGAATCCCACCATTTTTGCTGTGGGGTAAATATTTCCGAGCTCTTCTCGACGTGCAGTAAACATATTTATTTGTTGCAACTACTGTGGTGGCATATGACTTCACAAATAATGCGTTCACATAATTTTTTAGTGGAAAGGGCGCACTGCTTTTATGCGGCATTTATCAGCTCTCGGGGAGCTTAGGACTCCCAACAACAACACTGCAAGCAACAGTAAAATCGGGAACTGCGTATATATATGTATGTGTGCGTATGGCGAATAGCTGCGTAGAACGACAACCATTGCGACAATGCTCACATAAACGCCCCATTCATTGCACTGCAAAAACAACAACAGCAACAAAAACAACACAAAGCGCCACATGAGCAGGCAAAAGCAGAGAAGGGCAGTCAACAAAAACAACAGCAAAAAGTAATTACAAAAAGGCGACAACAACAACAAACGTATGCGGTCGTAAAAGCTGCGTTTAGTGCACATAAACAAACAGTGGCGGCAAATAAATTACGCTGACATCGCACTAATTGGCGTGGTGGGGAAGTGGCGACGCGGTGTGGCAGCCACAAACGACAGCGAGCAACACACATACTAACGCAACAAAGATGCTGCAGCTGCAACATCAACTTGTACCATAAAGTCACAGCGAGCAAATAAGTGTGTGTGTGTGTGTGGGTGAATTTGTGAACGAAACACAAATTGCTGGTGTGCACGGACGTGTCGCATGCAACGTGTGAGCCATGCATTAAAATGTGCCACATGCAGCTTCTTCGGCGCATAATCATTCATTGCCAAGTGCAGCGCAAGTTCGTATTGCCGCAAGCTGTTGGTTGCAAGGTGCATATTTTCGCCCTCTCGCCGTTACTCACATACACACACAATTATACCTATGTATATGTATGTGCATAAATGGTAAAATTTATGCATTGTCATTGTGTCTGCACGCAGACTTATCATTCGTTGCATTGAATCGAAAGTAAAAGTTGCAAACCTACACATACTCGGTAATGTCAGTCGGCATAATTAAATTCTGTGCGATTCTATTGTTCGCGGAAAATTAAAAGTTCATTAAAATTAATGAAAACCTTTATTGTTTCTTATTTTGGTTCACATTGTGAGCGCATTAAGCTGAAATTGATAAAAGTGAAACTCAGCTTTTTGCATAGGTGATTGCCTTGAAGGCACGCGGCTGAGATTTTTTTTACTCATTACTTAAAGGAAGCAAGAAAAACGTTAGTTTCGATAGTAATGAACCTTTAATATGCTACGCAGGTGCGTTTATTATAATATAAAAGTGTATAAAGATATTTTTATATTGATAGTGGTCCGATCTGAACAATATGGTTGGAGGAAGATCCCTCGTCAAATAGACGAGAGACTAGTTAGCGTATATACAGACAGGCGAACATGACAAAATCGACTCAGCTCTCCAAGTTGTTGATTTATATACTTTATAGGGCCTTCGACGTTGACTTCTGTTACTTACTCTTAAAAACTTGTTGGTTTTCTGTAATACTATATAGTCTGCTAGACCCTTAGTTTGGAATATTGTGTACAAGTTTATGAGACAGAGCCTTAACATTAAGGGATATGAGAAAAGTTATGAGGTGAATTAATAGCATGATCGTTTATGATCGCTTCGGAATGATTCGGAAAAACCTAAACAATTAAAGTAAGAGACAAAAAATAATATGACATGCAACCAAATCTGAAAAATCATAAGACTGAATATTAAATGAGGAAACTATTTAGAGTCATATGGCATATTTAACAAATTTGCTGCCTCATAATAGATTTTTAATTAATATAGAGGGTTTCAATACGGCACTACAAAAGTAAACCGTTAGGGCCAGCAAGTGACGTCATATTTTTCCCGCTATTTTGAAATTTCTCTTCGGTAAGGTTTGGCACTTCATCATGGAAAGATAAACGATCCAACAACGTGTCGAAGATATTAAAATTTACAAACGAAATTCGGAGTCAGTGGAGTCAACTTTAAGACCCATAAAATAACTTATGCTCGCTGCGATGTTTCAAATTACATTGTCAATGGAGGAAATTAAACTTATAAAACAACAAGTAAGGAAGGGCTAAGTTCGGGTGTCACCGAACATTTTATACTCTCGCATGATAAAGTGATAATCGAGATTACAGGCGTGGTTGTGAACCGATTT